ACTTGCATCATACAGGATGCGTGGCTGCAGTAACACATCCCTCTGACGCATGGTAGCATAACAGAAGAGGTATTGCTGAGGCAGGACAGGGGAGTGGGGGTGTGTGTGTGAGGAAATAAAGCAAACAGAGTTTAACTGTCTGAAATCCAAAATGACAGAATGAAGTCACAATTTAGTTGCAGCTCCTTGACAGAGCATGACAACACAGCTCTAAGGGCTGAAAGCAGACAAATATAGTAGTGCATTTTTAGTTGTGTGTGTTTTGGTTTTTTGTTTGTTTTCCTTCTAGGTTACTTTGACGTGTTTTATTCAAGATGCTTGTGCAGAGCTTTTTTGCACTATTTCTCCAATGCTTACTGGTGAACCAAACGAAAACCCCTTGTTAGCATGACTTAACTGTGTTTTGTCTTACCATTAGAATATCATTCAAAATGTCTAGTTTGCCTGTCTGAACACAGAACACAATCCCTGTCCTGGAATTCTTCTTGAAGGTGCTAAGTTCCTTGAACAATCTTAAAACTGATTTAAAGATTAAAATACTTTCTAAAATGAAACTTACATGCTACTGTAATATAAGCTGTACAAACAGACAATTCTCTAATGAAATTATTTTGATTTCTTCCTAAGAGATTAGCACTGGGGTTGTGGTTATTTTGTTGTTCAGTCATTGTATTTGCAAAATTTTACAGTGAATCTATGAACTTGTCAGCTGCAAATTCTGGTAATCAAAGCCATTGTAGGTAGCCTTTAAGATCGTATCTTAACTTCTGAGGGCTTGGTATTACATTCCCATTCGTGTGTCCTGTTGAAAGATACTTCAGTGTGTTGGTTTGTTGTAAGAAGGGACTGGAAGTATAATGGAGACTTTGATCTCTCAAGGACTTGGCACACTGGTGTTCTCACTGGCTTCTTCCAGACTCCTTACTAAGAAATCTTCCCCTGGCTTTTCTCCCCAGAAATGTACCTTCTGCTTCTTTAGTAATACTGAAATGGGCATAACAGTTCTGGGACTGGCCTGGGAGTACAGATGAGTTCTGTTCCTGGCCCTGTCACTCACCGATTTGCCGTGTGATCTTGGATGAATTAATAGCCCTATTTCAGCTTGCTTATCTGTAAAATGGAATTAACACTCTTGAAACTTTACAGTAATTTTAAGTTATGTGAAAAGCTGCTTGGATGAAGTTAGAGAAATGTTTACTTGACACTGCAGTACTTCCAGAGAAGTTTTATATACTACTGCGCTTAAGAAAACAGAACAAAGTTAGAGATAAATGGAATTTGGTGGAAGTTATGTCAAATAAGAGATGTAATAATTTCTTTTGATATTATGAACAGGCAACCTACAGTGCTGCTATTTCCCTTTTCATTTTAATTTATTGGCATTTCACTTTTAATTTACTTTCATTCACTTTTAATTTGCCTTAATTCAGAAATGGCTAAACATGTTCAAGCTTTCAAAGAAACAATGGAAGTTGGGGGAGAGAACTAGAGTATGAGTAATTTCCATCAAGGCACTGAGCTTTTTTTTGTTGGCCATTGAAACGTTAGCTAGCTTTGAGATGTCAGGATACAAAGAACAACATACTGGAAGTATAAGAGAAAGCAGGATTTGGCCAAACTGTAATCTGGCCAGAAATTCTGGGCTTAAGTCAAGAATGGTGTTTCAAAGCAAAAGAAAAACCCCATTGCTTGTCTCTGGGTGTTTGCTAGTCTCTTCAATTTAGAAATTAGTAGCAGGTTTTAGTGTAAAGCATTCCTTTAAAATGGTGAACTTTGGTGCCAGGCTCAATTGGCATACGTTATGCTAGCACAGCCGGAAGATAAGCAAGGCTTGTATGTTAGGTCTTTGTATATTTGAAGGGCATATTCTAATAAACATACTCTGCTTGCATGTTATTTCTCCTGCCATCTTAAAAGTCATATTGCAAAGTCACAGTAGCAGGAGGAAGAAAGGTGGAGAACGCCATCATCTTAAAACCTGCTATCACTGCAAAGCTGACCTTTCAAAAACTGTACAATCAAGTTATGTTGTGCTATACCTTTTCTGGAAGGCGCATACAAAATAATAGTAAATTTCCACAGCTGCTTACGGAAGTTCCACTGTTCAGTTTGAGAATGAGAGGACAAATTAAAGCCATGTTTTCACTTACATAAATGTTTTCTCTTATGAAATTCACATGTACTTAATGTAGGGTGCCAGACAGACCACTGCAGCTGTTTAAAATAGAAAGGCAAATGGAACAAATAGAAAGATCTACCACACAGCTTGATCTCTACCCCGAAGCAGCCATTCATCATCAGCACTGCTGAGGCAAACAGCAGAGCCGAGTTTCCCTTCGGAGCTGCGATTGGGCTTAGAGAGGTGGCAGAGCTGCACAACAGCCTCGGGATTGGCTGAGCTGGAACACACCTCTCGAATCTGTTTATCTCCTAAAAATAAGATACGATCTTTTTACGTTTCATCTAGAGATCTTTTATCTTGCATTTAATATCCAAATAAACTTGAATGAGCACAGTTAACCTCTTTGTAACAAATGCTTGAGCTAAATGAGTAGACTGAGTTCGGGGCAGTTATTTTGGGGGTGTTTTTGTTTTTTTCTTCCGAGTACAGTGCGGCCTGTGTGAGTTGTCTAGATCTGTTTTGTATTTTTCTGGGTGGGTATGTATGGTATTGAAGAACTTTCCTGTGTCTTAACTAGAGCTGAAAGTTGTTTTTCAGATTTCATAATGTACTGACTTCAGCTTATACTGAAAGCAGTTATTCATTTAAAACTGTTTTTATGTCTGTTCTGTAAAATTTTGTTTACACTTGCAATAATGTCTTTCATTGTTCCTGTGAATACCAAGTTACCATTCCTGATCATGTTTTAGTGAGCTGTGGCTGCTGCTGCTTCCCTCCCCTCCCCCCCCCCCCCCCAAAAAAAAAAAAATTAAGGACTTAAACCCCTGTGAAGTCCTTTGTTACAGTAACTTCAGACCATAGCTGTATTAAGAGAGATTTGATAAACTGCAGTGAATGTTCCAGCTGACAAAGTATCTGCCATAACTGAATACATCAGAACTCATTAACCTACTTCTCAAAAAAAAAAAAAAAACCAAACAAGGAAGAAAATTACATGGAAAGTAGGTAGGATTTTTGTTGTGGTTCAGATGAGGTGCATGCAGAACCAGAAGGCTGTGAAAAGCTAGTTTGTGAAGCAGGAACTTGTGGGGTTTATCAAGTAACAAGGGTTTGAGCAAGCACAAAATACAGGAACATTGACCATAGGGGTTATTGTCTTCAGGAGGAAGAGGAAAGATACATAGGAGAATGAGAACAGCAATGGATCAGAGGGAAGATTAGAGACAAGAGAAACTGACAGCCAGAAAGCTCTTTAAACCCAAGTTCAGTGCCCCCACCATCCACCCTGAATAACTAGTTTTGCTTCTGTTATATTAAATATGGATAAAGGCAGTAATTGGTAATATTTAAATTACCAATCAGCTTTTGGTTAAGTACCTATATTTTCCTTATCTAAATAGAGTCAACATTTTAAGATTTTCAAAAGATTAGCCTTGTTACATTACTGGTGCTGCTTAACCAGTAGTGAACATTCTGTTCTTAAATATTTGCACCCTCAGTGATGGTTTTATAAGCTTCCACTATCCCATTAAAATTCCTTGCTCTTTGGAGTGAAGTGATGAGGAAGTAACACCTGCGCTTATGGAGGAATTACCATTAAAGAGATTCTAAATTCTGTGATGCACAAGTGTCTTTGTTTAAATTCTTAACCCCGAAAAGTGACTGAGAATAGGTTTCCTCAGAAGCTTAAAAAGTAAATAAATATTTAATTCAGCAGCTACAAATGGAGGAGTAGAATGGGAATGGTATTTGTGATTTCTAATTTGTTGTTGTTGCTAATTATAAGCTATGTAACTAGCAGAAGTGAGAAGTGACTTTTGCCATAGAGAAAGTATTTTTCCTGTTGGATAGGAATGAGAGAGCTAGCAACCTTATTTCTTTTATGCTCACTGGTGAGTGGAATATATCCTTAAGTTAGTGTAATTAAAGATAGCTGTGTGAAGGGGGGAAGCTTGTTAGCTGATGCAGAGGTTCCTGAAGACTGGCTTAAAGAAAGGGGCTTCTCTTGCTGCTTACCCCATCCCTAGTTTTTTTTCATGTAAGCTGTAGGGACTCTTGAGAAGAACTTTTTATAACTATGTTTTACTGCTGATAAAACTATTTAGGGCTTCATTAATTTGCCAGCATTATGTTTGCATGACCTAGGCCTTGGTAAGCTTAAAGTATGCATCTATGCTTTAAGATTTCTTTCTAGGCTTTGAAAAGCTAGTGAGGAAATCCTCAAAGTTCTTATTTTGCTATTTTAAGTGACACTTTCTTAACCTCAGAAAATATTTGCTGATACTAAGTTGGTTAATAAAACTGGAAGCTGGTAGCAGAGGGTGTCAAAAAGTGTGATTGGATCACAGCGTTTTGTACTGTCAAGTGCAGCACAGGCACGTAAGGGAAAACAAATTCTTGGTTTACATAATGTGGTGGGCTGTGCTCTGTGTTTACTACTCAGATCTGTCTGTTCCATTCTTGGTCAAATAGCAGACAAAGCATGAAATAAAGAAGCATCATAGCAATTAATCCCAGGTGTATTCTAGTTAAAAAAATAAAATAAAAAAATAGAATAACAAGAACGGTGAACAGAGGAGTGGGGCAAGGACGACCAGAAGGAGGGAAAACATTTAAACTAAACAGAGAGCCAGGGTGGAATAGAATAGTGAAGTAGTGGTATGGCACATTATTAAATCAGTAGTGTTGAGAACAGGAACAGTATTTCTGTGACTCCTCCTCATTTGGAAGAATAAAGAGCTCTCGGTGGCATTACTGGGTGGTAGCAAAATGAGCATTGGAGGCAAAATGAGACGCTTTCTTTTAAAAGGGTTTTTTCCTTCCCCAGGAAATACATGTCAGATTTTGGCCATGTCCATAGATGCAAGAAAACCAGGAATTACTTACATTTGTTTTACTCTAGTCTAAGAAAATTATTTTAAGTCTTCCATTTTAATGTCAGATCACTGTGATAAAACGTTTAAGTGGTTTGGTTTTGAAGCTGTTGACTCTGCTGTAGGGAAACCTCTCTGTTCCTCAGTCTGACCTCTTAGTCTGGTCTTGGCTCCCAGCAGCCTCCCAAAACAGTGAGACTTGTAGGTTTTATTTCCTTCTGGTTCTTCAGCCTATGGGATTCATATACTACAGAGTCATTTCTTTTTTCATTTAAGATTCTTACATTTACAGGTTTTTCTAACCTGGGCAATACACATATGACTAAAATGTGTTATGCATTGACAACACTGGGTTCTGTAGCATTTCATCACATTTATGTTATTAAATGAAATGGAAATGGCCAATTGAGTAATGCTGCACACAGGCAAAACCAAGTAAATCTTTAACAGTGGTTACAGTGGTTTGTAGGAATGTGTTCGTGTTGACTCAAACGGCCTTCTCCCTAGTCTGCTTTAGAACAAATGTAGCATATATATGTTTTTATATATTATATATTTTTTATATAGATGTGTATGTATATATATTTGGAGTCCTTGCTCTTGGCTTGTCTTTGCGTTTGTCTTAATTTTTTAATATCTTAATTTTAATCTTGGAAAAACTGGCATGCGTAACTTACGTTTAAACAAAAGAGATGAACAAGCCTCTGTTTGATGTGTTTCATCTTATCACCTCAGTTTAGTCATGAGGAAAAGATGGTGGAGTGATAGAAAAGACGGAAGGCATCCTCATTCAGGAAAGCACCCGTCTATTGTCTAGTGAAACTGTAAAGGAAGTTGCAGTGGTTGATATGGTAAGCTAACTCAAGAGTAAGAACAGCAGATGGGAAGGGCAGGTACAGATGCTTGTCTGGGAGAAACAAAACGTGGATTGGTCGGGTAGCTCAGAGAACTGATTAATTTCTTATGCTGAGAGGGTGCAGTAATTTACAAATAATAAAGATAAAATTAAGAGGAGAAAAGCGCAAAGGCCTCCTGTGTGTAAGTTTCTTCTTTTAAATCTTCAAGGAAAAGGTGAATTTTTTTAAAAAGTTGGGATTTTTTCTAGAAGATAGAGGCCACAATTTTATCCTTGAATGAGGGAAATGTTTAGCTTCAATTATGCTCACTTGTTCAGGATCTTTTGTCATGCAGCCCAGGGAATAGGCAGTGTACAAACATTTAATGAATTCTGGAATTTAATTACATGTCTCCTGGAGGAATCAGGAAGATATCTGTTGTGTCAGCAACTAAAAGCTAAATAAAGAAACAGATTTTATCAAATCTTTAGTGACTTCATAGTAGATGTGTGGTACCAATTTCAAAGCTTAACCAAAGCATTGGCTTCATTAGCCAGTGCTATTTCTTACAATGAGGAATCTTAATCTAGAAATGGAGGTGGAAGCCATAGAAGAGTTATTTCTTCAGGCTAGCTTTTGGAACAGCATGTACACACCTGTTAGAAGGTGAGACCTGACAGGAGAAACCCAGAGTTTTAGTAACATGGCATGGAGTGTTTGTACATGTGTGTGCACATCTGAGTGTATACACACAAAAATAAAACTGAGTTATCTCTGTGGGGTTAGGTGTAACTTATTCATAATACTGTGAACATTCCAACTGGGGAGAATGGACAGGGGGGAAGTAATGCCTGAATATACCAGCAGTCTGTACAGTGCTGTGGATAAGCATGCATTAACAGCTCTTGCTTTGGTAGGAGAACATTCAGAGTTAGAAGCTTGCCTTGGTAGTTATTAGAATTATATTCCCTGTAATGTGGGGCATTATACTTTCTGTGATAGCCTTTTGTTTCTTGTTAAAATAAATCATAAGCCTGCTCTGATAAATGACAAAGCAGGAAACACCTTGGTACCCTCAGTGCCTTAAAATAAGAGGTGAAAGTAATCTTTGCCAAGAGGAAGCTGATAAATAATTGACTCTTGCACAGAGGGATTGGACTGAGTTACACCATTCTGCTTCAAGTGGAAACTAAGGCAAATATATGTAAACAGTTTGTTCAGTCACTGTAAAAACTCCAAACACTGTAGCATAAACCTCCACTTCTCTGTTTTTACTTATGCAGGCAGGTGGCTGTAACCTCTCTGCATTGAAAAACTGAAGGAAAAGAATGAAATCCCCCGAAGTAAGTGTACTTAAGAGTAAAGAAAGACTTGAAGCAAAAAGATAGATTACAAGTGACTAATCTAATGTTTGAGGCCACTAAATCAGGGCTGGAGAAAGCACTGAGTAGGGTTTGATTTAGAGGAAAAAGTGCATGATTCAGTAAATTGGGTTGGTTGGCTGGCTTATAGATCAAATAGAAGATGGAAATCACCTTGCATCAAGGTAGGTTTCAGTGGTTTTGAAGCTTCTAGGGCTTCTCGGGTTTTGCCCCCCCCCCCCCCTTTTTAACCATTTTTACCTATATTTTTACCTATTTTATTTATAATGCTCAGAAATGTTTCTGTCAGTCTAAAATTTCAGTATCACAAATTCTCCATTTTATCCACAGCTATAAACTGTAGCAATAGAAGTACTTTTGTCTTCTTGTTACTATAAATTTGGGGGGTTATAGCTATACCTGTATCTCTTTCTAAATTAGCATTGCTTTGTATTGCTGAGGTAATATTATATGCAAAATCTCTATAGATATGCCTTAACCTTTCCTTGGAAAGGATTGTTATGACTTTGAGAGAATGTCAGTTTTTTTTCAGCAGATTTTTTGATATTTGAAGGCAGCAGTTGAACTACACAAGAGACCTTTTGGTTTTTTTTACCATGACTACCACTCAGATTTCTCTGGGGTATAAATATTAAAAAGAAGGATTTCCCTTTGTGCAGTCACATGCCCATGAAAACTTTGCAGTGCAGCAGTTGTGGGTATTGCCTAGGAATAGGAGGCAGCTGTCAGATTAGTTGTGAGAGTGGAGGTGTAGGGGGGTAAAACTGGGCTCTGTCCACAAATCTGCACTCTAGTTGTGTAGTCATGGTAGGTTTTCCTTTCCCCTGGAGGTGAAAAGGGGGAAAAATTAAAGTTAGAATATGGGTATAAAATTGCTGTTCACCAGAACTTCTGGCGTCTAAGAGCCTGTGATGTGTAAAGAAACTTCTGTTTGTGAATAAAGTTATCCCTGTACCATGGGGCAGCAGCATTGTGCCACAGTTTCCAGGACTGCAACTTAGTGGGGTTTTATACAGGGTGCTGTTTGTGTTTGAAATCACTCATGCAACCTGAATTATGTCCCCTTGAGTTTTGACATTCTCTTCAATTACATAGGAAATGTGATCCTCACCACAGTCACTGCCCAGTTAAATTCTAGGATATAAACTAAAATTTTAGTCAAGGGCAAGTTTAGCATTTTCCCCTGTCCAAATTATATCTTCTAAACTTTTTGATGCAGGATATTATATGGGTTAGGGACTATCAAAAGCTGAAAAAGGGAAGTTCCTGTATTTGCGTACATTGTCTCAGCTCTCTGGTGGAGCTCTGTTTCATTGTTGTAGTCTATTTATGCCTTCCTGCAAGTTCTGGAAATGCTGAAGCTGCAGAAAACAAGAACATGGTTCTGAGCAACTGTACAGCAAGTTCTATTTTAATCACTTTCATCAGCTTTATCCTACAGTAAAAGCTGTGTGACTGTATCTCTTCATCATGGGGAAGGAGGGGGAATTTAAGCTGTAATTAAACCCTATTTTAAAAATCTAATTTACATATGAAAATCAGAAATATGAATATGTTACAACCTTTCCTAGGACTGTCAGAGCACTATGAATCAATAAATGGTAGGCTGAACGGTTTTGCACTAGCAATTAAAATACAAGCCTATACACTATTATACAGTACAATACAGTACTGCTTCTTTGTCCACAGGCTCAGTATTAGGAAAAGTATGTGAAATGTTAGTTTGCTTCCTAGAATAACAGCATTGCAACATGAATTTTATGTTAAGTAAAAAACTCAAACCTGCTCTGGATTCTGGAGGACTGAGTATTTGATCTCCCAGGAATTTTACATTGGCTGGTTGAAGTAGTTTGACTAGGGAACACGTATGCAGTGTTGGCATTGGTACAGATGCTGGGGTAAAAAATAAACCCATAGCCTGACTGTTTTGCAAAGTTCAGAGTTGTTCTTCCTAGGTAGGTTGCATATGTTCTTAGCTTCCATGTGAAAATTAAGTCTTGACCAAAGCAGACAAGTCCTGGTTGGCCTGTTCAGCTGACAAATACTTGTAATATGCTGACAAATACCCCGTAATATGTGTATGTCTTAGCTCAGTAAGGAGGTATTGCTGCTAATGCATCCCCTGGATAATAAATTAGCAAGAATTTAAAATTCAACCTTCAGCTTAAAAATAAAATAAGAATGTTTACAGCATTTAATTGGAGTCCAGTTAATATGAACTGATGTTAAGTATCTACATTAAAAGCAATTATCCAAAATACATTATAAAATGATGCTTTTCTTTTAATGTCACATGCTGTACTATCACTCAGGCTTCTGCTTTAGTGATACTACACTGTTGTTCTGCGTAGGACGCACTGTCTATAAGACATCTGAAGTTCAATTAAAGTGTTATGAACATTTAAAAGCAGAATTTTAGAGGTTTTGATAATCTTGCAGTTTTAGAAATTCATAATATTGAATTGAAAGCTGTTGAAGTGGCTGTAAAGTAACCAAAACATTGAAAAGAGGAGCAGAACCTACCTTAAAATACTGGGAAAAATCCCCATCTTATAAACAAACCCTTTGTCTCAGAATGCTTGGTGGAGCGTTTTATCTCCCAGAATGTTTCCCGTGTTTGTTAGATGGCTCAGCTCCAGGAGTGCTTTAGCATAGTCAGCTTGTTCTTTTCTTGTATGCCTGGCTGATGACATTTTCATTCTCTTCATTAATTCAGGTCAGTAATATGTGCCATAATTTCTTACATTTTTATACATATATATATGTATTTCTTCACATTTTTAAACTCCTTCACATTCTGTTATCTCCATATCACATATAGAACAAGTTTTTCTTTTATATTTTCTGAGTTCCATGAACTTAGAATTTTATTCAGGGAGAAACGGGACTTCAGGATTGAGCTGCTCTAGGCCTGTTTTTTTTGAAGGGCACCTTTCCATATCACCCTCTGTTCTGTGGATTTATAGCACTCTTTTAGAAAGATGTGGTAGATATGCATACGATTCCAAATCCTAAATATTTTATTACTGAGATTGATGTAAGACAATCATAGCCCTGGCTGGTATTATGAAATCATAATTTTACTCTGAAGAAATTTGGGATCTCCTGTTATTTTCTTGCATGTGACTTCAGCCCCAGATCACAAAGTTCTTTCCGTAGCTGGTTTCTCATCTAACATGTACCACACTTAATGCTGTCTGTGACTCCTTATCTTTGTACGTCCCTCCTGCATTCCCCTGCATCTCTTAGCAGTCTCTGAAAGCTTGATAACCCTATATTATAACATCCTTTCATTCTTATGTTTGGGGGCACTCTGCTCCCCATGTCATCATCCATTAGGACTCCCTTCTGAGTATTCTGTCCAAGCTTCAGTACACATCTAATCTAACTGTAATTTAATTTAAGTGTATATATGGCTTGATTTCTTTTAACATCACAAATATATTTATTCATGGCTATAGAGTATGAGTGTATGTATTCTGTCTCTCTCAGCTTACTCTGACATGTCTTGCAAAACAGCAAAAAAGTGCTAAGGTTCCCCTCTTCTGTTCTGTAAGTAAATGTCTGGGTACTCTGGAGTCATATACATGTTTGCAGCTTAATCTCTCATGTTATTAGATTTTAAGGAATCCTTTCTACAAGTAATGTCTTAATTTTTAAAAATTAGTTATATTTAACTTAGGTTCTGTTTTCCAATCACTTTATAATTTATTTTGACATACAAAATGTCATTATTATTAATTTTTTATGACAACATAGTGGCAAAAATATTGAGACCTTAAGCCTGGGACCTGTAAGTTGTAATGTTAGATATGCTATTTTGCAGTCACAGAAAAGGTCCAGCTGTGCTAGCAATATTAAATTTTCTTTAGCAGATAGGCAGCATGAATTAGTTACATTGCTGAAGTGTTCTGCTGAGGATCCAGTAGCAGCCTTGACAGTGTTTTGGAGTACGACTTGATGCATTGCTGGGAGAATTTGTTCTAGCAGTACTTGTTAGGATGGCCTGAAGGTTAAATTGTCATGACGAATAACCACACTTGGAAACATAGTCTGTTACTGGAAATTTATTTCCTGGTTGTTACTATAGGGAAGGGAAAGATTCCTTTGGAACAGCTTGTACGGTAATTAGAATGTAAATGCTGACTATATGTAATGTACAGGGTAGGCTTAGACATGGATTAGTCAGTACAGCAATAACAATAAAATGCCTGCTTGCTTTTTGTGACATTCCCAAAAGCAAAGTGACTTTGGAACTGCTTTATCAGGCAAGTTTGAGCTTATGGAGGAACAACAGAAAGCCTCAGGTACAATTAACATGAAACATGTCAGGCAGCTTTTAGGAAAAATGAAATATTTTTTTTTTCCATAGTCTTTGGGACCAGATAAGTTTAATTTCTTTTTGCACATATTTTGTGCCCTGAGCCTTTTCAGGAGGAAACTCAGCATTTCTTCCCAGATGGACAGTGGGCATCTTCTTCCCACTATGTTCGTTTTTCTCCTTGCGTCTTTTCTCTTGGCCTTTTGAGTTTTCTACTTTCCAAGTCTTAAAAGTTCCTTTCTTTGTGGAATTTAAGGAATGATTTTTATATGGCTATTGCCTTTGAGGTACCCTGAAGTATTCTTTCTGCCTATTTCTGCATCAGGTCACTTTTGCATTCAGTTCCTCTGGTTCTCTTCTGCTGCAAAACGCATAGACTAGGAAATATCTAATGGAATAGCTGAGGGAAAGATGTTTTAAGGCTGCTAAGCCATGTTAGAGAATTGTGATAATCTGATTCGATGTTTTGTATATGGAGGATATGGAGTTTCGTTTTTCTCCCCAAAGCTGAATATAAGAATACCTTTCTGAAAAATATCTAACCTTAAAAAATTGAAGCAGTGATGTCCATTTCTTGTAGTAAGAGCTTTCAGAGTTCAATTGCTCTTGCTGATAGGAAATGATATCCCTGCAAGATACATTTGTGTAATGTCAGTCTCCGTTCATTGTAGTTTTCTATGAGCTGATCTATGAACCTAAAAAAATCTATTATTTTTTTTCCCCAATCTTTTCTCCTTTTCAGACATCTTAATTAGTCTTAGGGGTATGTACGTATATATATATATGTATGTCCATATATGTGAAAAAAATGAAGTAATCTCTAAACTTTCAGAATTTGCCTAGACTGAGGTTTTTAACCTGTGTATTAAGGGGCCCCTTTTCTTTATCAAGCAAACAGGAGCCATAAAAATCTTTTCAGTACTTCCAGATAGTTTTAACACCAGAAAAGTTATCCTATTCTTAAAAAATCAGATCAACATAGTGTATATAGGAAAGGTGATTGTTCTACCTGATATTCCTACTTTTATGCATTTTAGATCAAATTACCCTTCTAGGCACTATAAATGCACAGTAGAGCCTGATTTGCAGTTCCCAAATGTTCTCTTTGGAGACAGTGATTTCCAAATTACTTTCCCATATGGACATGTTGATTATTTATTTTGTCCTTATGTGTGTTATAGCTAGCTATATAGAACCCACAGAATAGGATAGAATCTTTAGAGATCTGTTACATCTATCAAGATTCAGCGGGGAAGAACCAATTATTACATCTAAGCTGTGCATGAGTTTATCTGCTTGTTTTAAAGACTAGCAGCAGTCAAGAATCAATATTTCTTCTCAGTCTCCTCCTCCTTAGATCAAATGTCATTGTGCTGTTTTTGCTTAGAAAAAAATTGTAGAATCCTAGAATGGTTGGGGTTGGAGAGGACCTTAAGATCATCTACTTCCAACCCCCTGCCATGACCAGGGACACCTCCCATTAGATCAGGTTGTTAAAGGCCCCATCCAGCTTGGCCTTGAACACTGACAGGGATGCTTTACTCCCTTTTCCTAGTCTTTCAAGTTATCTTTTCTGAGCATCTGACCATTTTTGTTGGTGAGAATGCAGAGGACAGCATTCAGTTGATACCTTTGATATGTGTTGACCAATGATGGGGTGTTCCTGCAGAGTAGAGCAGAGAGGTTTGCTTCCTCTATCTTGCAAGCTAAATTACTGTACATGAATCACATTAAAGTTTTGTTGATTGTTTGTTTGTTTCATGTTGACCTCATGATGCCATAAGCCTTTATAACCTTAATTCTTTTCAAAGCCAGATGTCTCTTACATCTTGTTACCCTTTCCTATCTTTGTATAGTTCATAATTTCTACCAGAGAGTAACAACTTAAATATCTTCCCTAAGAACTGTGTTCTCTATTTTAGGTGATTTTAGAACATTTCCCTAATTTTTCAAGAACCTTTAGAAGTGCAAGTATGTCCTCTCAGGTTCCCTCAGTCCTTAACAGGCTTTGTATTACGGGTTCATAAATTTAAGCATTCTCTTGATTCTATAATTCAAGTTGCCATTCTATGTAGAACCACATTTAGCGGGCATTTGCTATGGAATCCCATGTGCTATGTTCTGTCATGGTGGCAGTGAGCCATTTAGCATTCGACAATTTTGTGTTCATCGTGCTGTAGTTTCATGAAAAAGAGTTATGGTCATACTTGTAACATATACTAGCATCTTCCTGTTGAGAAAAGGAAGGCAGAAAAATTTGTTGAGGATCTGTCCTCAACATACATGTCAAACTGATTTTTGGCTTTCTTTCAGTTGCAATTATTGTCCAGGCTCTTACAAGCTGTTTTGCCGAATTTTTAGTTGTGGGGTTTTTTTTTTTTGTTGTTCCATTTTTTTTCAGGAATTGAAATTCAGCTGGCTGAACTGGTTCCCTTTTTATTTCCTTCTTTAAATAAAAATACTGTGTTTCTTTGGGTGCTTCTTGAAAATTAACACTTGCCACTTCAGTCAATTCTTTATATATTTAAGGTGAAATTTAAGATTCCCAGCCAATTAAAAAAATCAGTTCTCTCTAGCCTGACTTTGTCTTCTGGTCTGACAGTTTGTGTTGATGTTGAGCTCTGAGGGTTAGAAAAGGAAATTCAGATGGTTTTGTATGAATGCTGTTACCTTTTTGTTATTTTCCATTCCACTTATTATCTCATTTCCGAATTTCAAAATACTTGATTTTAATCCCAGGTTAGAAGGACAATAGATGCTGAAATACTGGACCTTCTGAATTTGAGTTTTTGGCAGTCTTTCCTTTTTCAGTGCTATGTAAGTGGGTTTTCCACGATACAGCCATATGTCCATGTGTTGCCTATGTCACAACATCTTGTTAGGTCCTAATTGCATATGTTAATGGAAACAGCAGCTGTACCAAATAATTCAAGTTATTTTTGACTGTTAACAATATAGACATACGATAAGCAGGCAAGGATAATGTTGTTTCTAATTGGAATATGGGCATAAGATCCATAAGACAAGGATTTTTATTAAGATAATACCAGGTTAGCTTGGCCTTGATACTTGAACTCTTTAACTGGCTTGTACCAATGTTTTCCTGGAGAAGCGCAACGTGCGCTCTTTTTTTTATTTGCCTTGACTTCTCATTTAGGGCTAATGAAAGAGCAGGAAGTCTGCTGTGGCTTTTGTAGCTGAGACCAGTTTCCTTGTCAGGAAAATGCTTTTATTTAAAACATGCATATTGTGTACACACATACTGACATGTTCTGTTACGGTTAACACAAAACATTTAAAGCCGGATCTCTAAAATACTACAAGCATTTTTAGCCATTTTTGTGGAAGAAGGTCTTCTCAATTTAT